GGGGGCCGATCCCATTTTGCCGCCCCTTCGCCTTACTGTGTGGTGCAATCGCGAGTCGTGGCCGGCTCAGAACTGACCGCTCGCACAAAGTCCATGCTGGTAGAAAACGTACTCGTTTACCACTGCGAGACAACAACAACTACAGTGACAGATATTAACGGTACAATCAAAATCCATAATATATTCCCGGACCGTGAATTGATGTCCCAAACCCGTGTGGGAACCACACCATCTGTACGATCCGTCGGTGGTCTCGGAAAGCAAGCTAATTGGCCCAGGCCCATTTAGGGCCCGTGAGTTTTCCCTTCGGTGTCGGCTGATACCGCTCATGCTCACAAGTGTTTTCTGAGGGGTTTTGACAAAGAAATGTGATCAATTAAACCCACTGAGCATCCCCCCCCCTGCTCTTTTTCTCACTTGCTTTTGTCGTCTGTTTGTAGAACCAAGCACATTAGAGCTCACAATGCCAGGTGGGGGAGCACGTCAGAGCTGTCCCAAGACTTTTGACTTGACCGAAGGACAAAACCTTTGAATGAGAACATAAGCATGGGGGGGGCCCCCTCGTAACAGGGAAAGGACTCTATCTTGCATTAATGAGGGATCACGGTACAGCGAATAATAATAAACAAATGAGCCAAAAGCATTGTGCTAGAGCACGACCAACGTGGGCAACTGATGAGGTTAGAGATGACTTACTAATTTCCATCTTTTAGGAGCTTTTACAGAGTAAAACATGAAATAACGGAAGCAGTAAAATGAAGAACAATTCACAAAAGATCGTGAGGGAGCTTCAGCTTTGATTAAACATGATACGAACTATAACGGTTAATTTTACAATCAGCTGCGCATGCCCACGGCTCTGAGCAGGTGTTGAACCAAATATCAAATGTTTGAATCAGATCTCTCTCCGAATTTATCCTTCGAGATCTAATGATGTAAAAAAATGTTAAATACGCCTTCAATGAAGAGAAATCTCAACCCAACCACTGAATTCGAAGTTAACGGAAGTTACATGTAGACTGTGAATCTTCTGCGTATAATGAGAAAGAGAATCATCTTCTATAATAAGTATATATGCATGTCTCTGAAGTATCACCCTTTTAAACTTTAATCCCTCAATAGTGCTCTTCCTTGCTCTTCTTAACCCGCCATCCGGCCACCGTAATGACTTGATACATATGAAAGAGCGAAAAAAACCCGGCCCTTTTCTGGCCATTAAATTGAGATATGATACAATATATATCGGGATTGTGTGCAGGAACGGCGACAGAAACAATCATCAGCTCTCGTGTAATCTCAACCATGGCAACTATCACTTACGTATATGTGTTGATCACGATGGAAACTCCAATAAAGTCCCCAGGGGAACTTCACATTCTCAGAAATAACCATGGCATCTAGAAAGCTAATGGCTAACGAGAGCACCACTTTCAGAGATAGAACAGATGAGATTCCTCTAGTGTGACTAATCCCAAGATGTCACAGATAGAGCAACCTGAAGATCATTAGATGTGCCACATATATACATTCTATGCGTCTCAATATCTCCGGTGATATCTGATGAATTGCTACTTCCGTAATGATTGTCACTAAGAGTATCATAGACTGAGAATATAATCTCCCTCAAGGCTGGTTCGTGACCATTAAGAAGGTTACCCATGCTCAAGACTTTCCTCCATGATTGGTTAGCTGTTGGAGGTGGAAAAAGACTCGCTACAGCATCTCTCTCACGCAACTTAACTAGTTGCTTGGTGTTGAACTCCTAGATAAAAATGATAATAAAGAACAAGAAAACAAAATCAGACCTAAGGAAAAAAGGAAAATAAATTCAGACCTAAAGGATAATCTTCGGTCATCTGCTTAGAAATAGAGACAAATGGCTCCGTAGAGCAGAATCCCGATTTTCTCTCCTGCCAATTTAAAGGGGAAGTTTACTTTTATTTTTGGACGATCTGGTACCAAATGTCCCCCTCTGATGCAAGGAGATTATAGAAGTATGCATCCATAATCGCCGCTTGGATCTAAATATTTTCAGGTATACATAAAATATTAATTTGCGGATGATGTATGTGAAGTTTGAAATTGTTTGTTTTATGCATAACTATTTAGCAGCATGGCTTTTGCATCTCTTAATGGAATTTGAAACAGTTGTCACGTTCTCCGCACTAAACTTAGTTCTGGGTCCCTGACCACTTTAGTAATCACGGTACTTAATGTAGAAAAATATAGATTACTTTTCGCAACAAGATGTAGACCAAAATCTGGCACCACAGTTCATTTACAAGAAGATTGTGAAGCAATGATGATATTCTGATCACTAGGATTACATTTAAGGACACAACAATAGCATAAGGCTAGCCAGATGATGACAATGACAATTGAACCTCTAGAATATTGGATGACCAGAAGAGAGGTCTTACCATTACAGCACAGAGACTTCCTCCGAAACACATTTTATCGTGCATTTGCAGTAACTAGAAATATGGAGGGTCATTGAGAAAGTACATGCTCAGCTAGTGGCAGGCCCTTCCTACCCAATCCAAATGTTGAACATGAGTGTGTATAGTTGGTTCTAACTTATGATGAGTCCAGTCTGCCTGATCTACTAATAATAAACATGACTTAAAAGTTACAAATTGACACTTTCAAGTTATGAATAGTCTTCACTTACATCGGTAAAGCACTTGCTAGTAAGGACTCAATTGGAGAGACATTGTGTACTTGACATTTCATCCCAATTATTGATAAAGTTTGGTCCTATATCATGTGTCGTAAAATCTGCTATCCTACTACAATATTTCCAAAAAAATTTGATACTAAGAAATGTAAAAACATTTCCCAAAAAAATGATACTAAAAAATGCGAAAGCACATACCTTATCATAGCAAATGCTTGCAGAACTGGTCCCCATTTTAGGAAGATAATAATTGAAATAGTCATTGAAAATTGCTTCAGAAAGACGTGGGGCATCCAACAGCTTACGACGCACTGAAGCTGCAAGGATCAATAGCTTTTCTATGTGTTCGAAAACACGACATAGTTGGAATAGGTCTCCAATCAACTCAGACTTTTCAAGCGAATGATTACCTGTTCATTACAAAAAAGGTTATCAGAGCTGGAAAATTGACATCTAAAAAGAAATCTTTTGGGACACCACAGATAGCATAATTTACACACAACATTTTCTAACACTATCCTCAACCAATACCATATGGTCATTGCCTAACACTGAAATTGGTTGCTTAAAACTTAAGCAAACATGTTTTCATTGGTTCATTGCAACGAGTACACATTATAAAGGAAAGCGAATACTAGAGTATTTCTTTAGCAATAAGTTAGAGCAGAAACAGGTTTAATGTGAATGAATGTTTCGCATATTCATGATGCACATCATGTTCCAAACTATAATTCGGCCTTCAGGGAAGTAAAGAGATGAACATTGCCACATACTCCATTTCAAATACTTAATAATCGAGCTAGATACCTTGAAAACACTTCAACGTAGATGCCAGTGTCAGGTATAGCTGGTCAAGTTTTGTTTTCATAAGTTTCCAATCACCAAATGCTGTTTGGTTTAAAGTGTCAGCTGAAGCTCTGAAAGCAGTAGTGACCATTTGCTCAAGCAGCTGCTGTGGTTTAAGTGTTTCCAAATAATGGAGTATCTGCGTGAAATATCAGAAAATTGTTAACATTTCAAACAGAATGTCCACAGAAAAACAAGCAAGCAGAATGTCCACAGAAAAACAAGCAAGCAGATATAACCTATATAGGTGAAGGTCACACTTTCAAAATGAGAGTTCAAAGGTACTCACTAAATTAAAATGAACATAAAAAACATTTTTATTCTTTATATAATACTTAAAGAGTTTAGAGTTTAGACCATTGTAAAGGACCCCCTACACCATGCAGACTAGCACTATACATAGAAGGTGTACTGCACATAAAGATGAGTAAGCGTAAACCACATAAATAAACTGCATGGTGTCATAAAGCATGAGGGTACTGAAGACTATCAGAAAACTCGGAGAAAGTCATGAAATCACATACCTAATGATCAGTGTCTTCTATAAGAACAATTGAACGATCAATAATAAAAGAATTGACATCGCAAGAATAATATACTTGTAAAAAAGAAAGCATGATTGTGAATTTAAAAAAATGGCCTGATTTCCATTATACGACATTGACAGGAAAATAAGCACCTTCTCCCCTTCCCGGATTGGATCAAAGAGAGGCTTTTGCTCCGAGACTGGCAATGCTGGAGAATCATTCCAGATCTTCCGCCATGAATTTCCTTGTTCGGACATGCGCTGTGATAGTCTTCCACGTGGAGGCCAACTGTTATCTCCTTCCATCTTGTCATCTCTTAATCTATCTCCAGTTTCATCATTTTCCCAGTCAGTTGGTGAATGCCATCGAATAAAATCTTCAAAAAGTGCATCTGGATTCGCAGCTTTAAATGCAGACATGTCTGGAACATCAATATGTTTAACAAGACGATGAATATTGTATCAATAAAAACAAGGTACTTGTAGGTCAATGATTAATTGAAATATCTTTGGTACATGTAGGCCAAGGATTCTAAGCACTGTCTTTATGAAGACATCAAACTAACTAAAAATTAGTGAAAAATATTAGCAAAAAATTTATGATACCAAAGATAATTTCTCTAAACTTTTATAGTTCGTAACCAGGCTTTCACACATAGGTAGATGCAATGAACAGAAATAAGAAAAAAGCTGAATCTAAATTTATCTAGCTGACCTTTTCGATACTCTATCTGTATGTGGTTAGTTCTATGGTTATTTGTATAAACTAGATAAGCCCCTTATATCTTCAATGGAAGTTTCCACAAAGCTTATAGATCCATATTACGGATCAAAAGAAAGTACAGACATGAAGCTCATCCCAATTAGATTCCCACATCATGTTTACTTCTCGCGATAAAGGATATAAATATTTTATCAGTAAATAGAGTTTTGAAACCAAACAAGGTAGATTTAACTCATCTTACCAGAGGATAAGATATCTCTTTCCAGCTGACCTGAGACGCTCTGCAAGAACACAATGAGGTTAAATTTTTTCTGATTGACTGAATAGTTAATGAAGGCAGTTCTGGCTATCAAAAACTCATCATATACCTTTGCAAATTAATTGAACACTTGAAGTGAAGATAAAAAGTATTTTGAAGTAGATTAATTAAAAGAGTAAATTACACTAAACGCCCAAGAACTTTTAGCATTTCTAGTAAACCCCCAATAACTTTCAAAATCGCTCTAAACCCCCATAACTTCTACAGAAAACCCCCAATATCTTTGGGTAAATTACACTAAACCCCAACTAACTTTCCAAAGCCTTTGTATGTTGTTTTCTGGTTCTAATTTATGGGGGTTATCTGCAAAATGCAGAAACTTATTGGGGTTTTTTTTTGCAGAATGCAAAAGTCAATGATGTGCTATTTTGAAAGTTATTGGAGGTTTACTGAAATATGCTGAAAGTTCTCAGGGGTTTAGTGTAATTTACCCTAATTAAGGACTGCTTCTTTGGATTTCATTTCATACAAGGGGAATATCTTATTACAGACTATTACAAGAATTATAATCAATAATTAATTTCTATAATTAATAATTATAGAAATTAATTATGCACAACACTTTTAGTTGATGAATCATGCATGTGCTATTATCACATATGCTACCTCGACAAAAAAATTTCCTTCTGGTTCAATAAGAGATAACTAGTTCTTAATGAATTTCCATGTAATGATAGAGATTATTTGAGATTCAAAATAACAAGAATGATAAGAATGGTTCCACATGTTCATAACAGAACTTTGCTATTAAGTATTATTTTCAATTAGAATTCTTTTCTTTTCGACATATGCAAGAAAGAGATGTGAAAAATCAGATCAAGATGCAAACATTATCAATTGTTGCTGAGGTGATTTCCCAAAAACAAACTTGTGGTTATATAATGAGTTTTCTTATAGCTTCCAATTGTCTTATAAAGTTTGAACGGTAAAATACCTGCAAATTTTTTCAAGAGGAACTGCAAGAGACATATCTAAATTATCCTTCTTAAGTTATTGCTTTCAAACCTTCAATTATTTGCAACCCATAATTGCAAATTCAACCGCAAATTGAAAATCCAGGTCAAAGATCACACCTTAACGCATGCACCCACAAGCACAAACGCGCACAGCCTCGCATGCATGCACCCACAAACCCACACACCTTGTGTGCTCGTGCCAACTCCCAGGGCACCTAGACAAACACAAACACACTACTCACATCACACAACCAAGCACACACAGACATG